TTGGACGTTACCATGAGGACCGTGGAGCCCCCACCTTTGTGAAAGAATATATGTCAGATGGAATTCATGGAGCTTCAAGGCTGTCCTCTGGCATTGGATTTGTCATCCTGTCCTGCTGGGTCACACCCAGCCAGCACCCTGTGGCTGAGCCATCCCTGTCCCTGGATGGCCTTCAGGTCTCTGGGAGCTCTGGTTGCAGGAAGTGAGATAAACAGCTGCCCCATCCTCCTGTCCAGCCCAGTGCTACTGTCACCGCCCACCTGTGAGACACTGGTCAATACACTGGCTTCTGCGGCCCCTTCTGCAGCTAAACAGTGTATGGCTCAGTGAAAACCACTCCTGCCCTTGCTGGAACAAGAAGGAAATCACTGGCCTGGGGGATGGAGACTTTGGTGCCCACTTCTGGCCCATTCCTGTCTGCTCCTCCTGGTCAGCCCCCAGCCCCAAAGCCTGAGGAGACAGGAATTTCTGTCTTTCTGTGCAGCTTATGCCTTGGAAAATATCTCTAATTGTTTAGGTTCAGGATGAAATGTGCACTAAAAAATTTCAGCTCTAAAAGTTGACAGGTGTGCACTTCCACTGTGTCATCTCAAGAACAGCCCCAATGACTTGTCTTCTCATGTGCTTCATCCTTGAGGAAGCTATGCCAGGAGTAGTCTAGCTTTACAATAATGCACTTCTTTTTTATGTTTTACTTTGCTAGAACGTTTGTGGTTCACACAGATTACAATGAGCTTGGGGAGTGGGCACATGTACCCCCACTCCAGTTTCCCATCCCATCTATTTTCCCAGCCCATCTGTTCTCCTGATCTTGATCTAAGCTCATGTTCTGATGTATCATGTTTATGGTAATTGAGATTGTGTGCTTGTACGTGGGATAGCTTTTATTTTACTTAGTTCCCCTTCCTCCTCCTCCTCACCACTCATGTTTCCCCTTGGTCCACTTCTCTATTGCAAGAGACCCACCCCCTTTCCTCTTCTACCCATCTTTCATTACTCTCTTCATGTGAACTTAATAGAACACTACTGTGTTATAAAGGGTAGATTTAAGACATCTGCAAGAAAATGAGCGCACCTGGCACACACGATGCTGTGTGAAATAAACCAGACACACAGCACCTGTGTTTTGAAGTTGATGAACTTGTGTGGCAGACTGAGGAGCACACATGCCATACTCTACAGGGCAGTGGTCCTGAACTGCAGGCCAGGAGGCCTTTGTTCTTTGCCTCATGGCTGTTTCTGCTGCATAGGCTCCAGAGGGTAGGGGAAGATTTGCTCATCAGGCTGGGGTTGGGGTCTAATGCAGATGTGCCCCCCCAGGTGAAAGCACCATATGCTAATCTCCAGGCAGATATCAGGCCCCAACTTTGCATCCTGTGGAAAGACCCTCCTTGGGCATAAAATAGGAAAGGGATCTAAGATGTTTTTGTCAGGGTTTGTAAGGGAAAACGTTTAATTCAGGACACATAATATATACAACTATTTTATAAAATTCATCTGAAAAGTCAAATGCAGAAAAGTGCTGGAGATCTGACCACACACTACAGACCCAAAGGATCCAGCTGAGGCCTAGATCCCATGACAAGGTTCCCCACGAATCCAGCTGGAGGTCCAGAGCCACAACAATGTCTCATGCAAGATTGTATCAAGGATCTGCACTGGGCAGGCCCAAAGGTCAGTGGTGGAAGCTAGAAAGTGGCACCAGTGGGGTGAAGGAGCTGTGCCAGCAGCTGAGGGAGCTGCACGGGGCCCATAAAACAATGCTCAAGGCAAGGACCAGAGTCCCCCAAAGAGGACAGAAGAGAGCCACAGCCATCCCCAGCAACAGGAAGGACCTCAGCTCCTCCATGAAAACAGCCAGGTTCACACCAGGAAACCCATGCAACAAGCTCCTCTGGGAAGATCAGCAACACCCTCTTCCCTCCAGTTCTGCTTTCCTGCTGTTGGTAACCGTCCTAGGTGGGCCCACCACACCTGCGACACCCTGACTGAGTTTAGCTGGGTGTTATGAATTAGTTAATTCACCAGTAAGATTAAAATATTGTCTTTGCGTTTAATTTGCTTCTTAACAAAGAGCTGTTTTCTAGAATCATGCTTACTTCAGTATAAGTTTGGGCTTTCTCAGAACAGTCCACTTGAAATGTCACAAGAGTTTGTGTGACGGGATACTTTACTTTGCCACCATGGGCTCTTTGTCCCTCCAGCCACAGAGTGTGCAGGCAGTTCAGAAGCTGCTCGAAAGAAAGTACCTCAGACCAGAGGCTAAACAGAATTTGCTTCATTTTGTTTTAATTACCATTTCCCCTTTTTCTTCTGTTCTGGGGATTGAACTCAGGGCCTTTACACTAAGCTATGAGCCAGCCTCCTCTTCCCTTTTCCTCTCCACTACCAGCACCACCTGTTCCATCTCTTCTTCTTCCTTATCCTTTTCTCATTTTACTACAAGGTCTCCTTAAACTGAGTAATTTCCTTGAGCTCAAACTTGTGATCCTCCTGCCTCAGCCTCCCAGAATTCTAGGATTCAAGGCATACGCCACCACACCTGGATTCATAAAAAGCTCAATATATTTGTCTAAAACAAAAATAGACTTAAAAGAATAGGAATTTTATGTTCTATCAAAATATTCATTGTTTTCTATTAGGCTTACTTAGGGAGCTGAGTCTTAACAGACTTAGGATTTATTTAAATCTCGGGCTTTGAAAAGTCATTCAAATGAGCAGTTTATAGCTGCTTCAGTGAACAGCTTTCTGGTTAGGTTGGTGTAACACACCTGTGTGCCTTGGGCTAGAACACATTTTAACCTGAGGACCGAGTGTGCTGGGGCTCTGAGCTTCACCAAAATGTTAAAAGGTTTGCACATTTTATGGAGCTATGTTGCACATCTTCAATACAGGGAAGGTAGCCAGGGAATCTCTCTTTCATGCATTTCATATGAATCTTAAACATAAACTGATCAGTAAAAGTTTTTATCATTTCTTCCATTTGCATTTGATATTTAAATAGGGAAAAAACACTGCCATTTGAGCAGTCTTGCCTGGCACTTAAAGCTGAGGTAAACCAGGTGTAGTGGCCTATGCTTGTAATCCCAGCAGTTGGGAGGCTGAGACAGGAGGATCACTGTAAGTTTGAGGCCAGTGTGGGATGCAAAGTGAATGGAGGGCCAGCCTGAACCGCATAGGGAGACCCTGTCTCAAAAAGGCAATCATTGATCAGTCAGTCAAACAAGAAATAATCCTGGTATAAATCTGTTCAACTGAATAAACATTTTATTGTTGTGTAAATAAGATGCACTTTTATATCAGGCAACAAACGTACTCGTGTTTATTAACAGCTTTCTAAAGTTGTAAGAGTGCTAAGCCTTTCTCTGAGTCTTCACCAGTGCTCTTATCCTTTTGGATCTGTTACAGGACCCCAAAATTTATCCTGGAAGTGAAAGCTGAGTTTAAGAGTGAGAACCGAGTGCTGAGCGCTGGACCAGCTGTCATGGGGTCTGCTCCAGAGGGAGCACTGGTGACCTCCGGCTGAGGGGAAGGAGATTTTGAATTCTGGGATCTGTAGCTGTGGCAGTGCCAGTGCCACTCAGATGCTGGCTTCTACCACATAGGCACAGAGCTCCAGTCAGCAGCGTTCACAACCAGCAGCTGCGTCCCCTTCCCTCCTTGGTGAGGGCGACTTGGGCTGGGGTGGAATTATGCTTGCTGTCATCTAGAGGTTTCCAAGCCAGTGAGTCAAGATAGAAAAAAATGAGGTTCTTATCAGTAGCATCCCTGGAAGGTCTGCTTCTGGCTGCATCTGGTCAGACCAGAGTGGTCTGCTTTCCTGAAGAATGATGTTTGTGGTCAGGGGGTCAATCAGACACTGTGCTCCACGGCACAATGGAGGCTCTGGGTGAAAATCCTGCCTAACAGCCAGGGGATTGTGCAGGAGCAAGGCTGTGGTTATTCCCCTGCACTGTGAGCAGTGACACCCTGCTCCAGGATTCTGTCACATGGGGACACTGAACCTGGAATTGTACCAGGGCCTGGGGCCCATGTGTGACCCTGGTTCTCCTGAGTCTACAATGGAGCCCAATGTTCTTCTCCAATTCTCAGCTCCCTAGGCAAAAGTGAGGACCACATCCCTTACGAGTGCTCTGCCAGCTTCAGCAGCTGATGCAAAGCCGCTGTGAATCGCTTTCTCATTTTGTGCGGTCAGCGCACATAAAACCCAGGGCTGTAGAGAAGAATCATGCAGGGCACTGCTCCTCCAGAGGCTGAGGATGGAAACATCTGTCCACCGGTTACAGTCAAAGACATTCCCTGTGGCCAGTGGTTCTACATGGTTAGAAAGGAAGGAAAATACGATTATGGAGACTGCTGATGAAGCAGGTTTTTTTTATCTCCCTCTCTCTGTGACTTCTAATGCAATCATTATTTGTCCCATAATGAATAAAACACCACTGAACCTGTACCCCAACAAAGAATAGTTTTTGGATCTCTGTAAATCGCATGATTCACTTTCTTCATGATCAAATTCAGATAAAAGAGTACGTATTTCGGTTTCTTCTGAAATAAGTGATTCTTAGGCTTTTTACAAGCCCAGTGTTACTCTAAGTCACCCTGAGGCCTTAGGACACTGTACTCCTGTCAGCTGTCTCAGGTGTTGGTATCCCCAACGGCCCCCTAAACTCATGAATGGACACCTAGAGTTATGCAGTCCAAATCACCAGCTCTGCTCAGGCATCAGATGTTGGACCAATTGTACCGGGGACATTCATATGGGTGAACTCTGCTCCGAGAACTGGCACGACAGAGAACTGAAGTCAGCAGAACCAAAGACAGAAACGTTCAATCAGTGTTCCTCTGGCAGGGAGGCATCGGTCTGTGGGATGTCAGACGGTCTGTTCTGCGGGAGCCGGCCACCTCTGGCGTTGGCAGCTACTCCAGCCATTGGCTTCATCATTCACGGTGGAGCTCTGACTGCCATGCACAGGGGCACCAAACCGTCAGAGGCCCCTGTGTCACACCGCAGGGCCTGGACGCCGGCCCACCACCCTGCTCCAGGCTTCCCGCACGTCCCTGTTCCTCAGGCTGTAGATGAGCGGGTTGAGCACGGGCGTGAGGATGGTATAGAAGGCGGAGAAGACCTTATCCTGCAGCGGGGTGTGGTAGGCTGGGGGCAGCGCGTAGGTGTACACTGCGGCCCCGTAGAACAGTGTCACCACCATCATGTGCGAGGAGCAGGTGGCCAGTGCCTTCCTCCTCCCGCCTGCGGACTTCATGTGCTGCACAGCGATGAGTACGCGCATGTAGGACGCAGTCACCACAGAGAAGGGGGCCAGTAGCATCAGGACACAGCAAGCATACATCACTGTCTCGTAGGCGGCCTTGTGGCCGCAGGCCAGCCTCAGCATGGTGGGGGCCTCGCAGAAGAAATGGTTGATGGTGTGTGAGGCACAGAAGGGAAGACTCATGGTGAGGGGCGTGAGGAGGAGGCTGTCCAGAGCGCCACCGAACCAAGAGCTCCCCACGATCAACCAGCAGACCCTGCGGCTCATGAGCACTGGGTAGCGCAGTGGGCTGCATACGGCCACGTAGCGGTCGTAGGCCATGAGGCCCAGCAGGAAGAACTCAGCCCCCACAAAGCCCATGTAGAGAAAGTACTGGGCAGTGCAGCCCGAGAAGGAGATGGTGCTGCTGCCTGCGAGGTAGTCAGCCAAAGCCTTGGGCACGATGGTGGAGACGTACAACATGTCGATGAGCGAGAGGTGGCTGAGCAGGAAGTACATGGGCGTGTGCAGCAGTGTGTCCCTGCAGCTCAGGAAGATCAGCATCCCATTGGTGACCATGGCCGTCAGGAAGACGGCAGCAGTGACCCCGAACAGGAGGCCTGAGGCTTTGCTGTGGGCAAAGAGCCCCACCAGCGTGAAGTCACTGGAAAACGTCCTGTTGCTGTCCATGGAGTTCTGCTTGAACTGGAGACACAAGAGAGGACATGGGAGTTAATGAAGACCAGGAAAGATCGTGTGAATCCTGTAAAAATGTCTGCGTCATTTTTTGTCTGCATCATCAGATGGAAAGTTTGACATAATTCACAGCAAGCCCTCTTCCAAGGAGGACCATGCAGTTTCTTCCTGTTGAAGAACGGCTGGAAGGTTAGAGCCCATGGCATGGAGAGGAGCGGGTACTTGGCAGTGGATACTGTGTGTGGGAAAGTTCTGCTCTTATGGCAGAAGACCTGGGCTCACGGAGTCTTCCCGTCCAGTGGGCTCCATTTATTTAAACTGCAGATACAACTGCAAGAGAATTGACTGACTCTGTTTCCATAAACAAATCATTTAGTAAGATTTGATCACACTGGGGACTTTCATCACAATCTGAAAAACTGCAGGCATAGGGCTCCAGCAACCCCCATGGCCCTGGAGGGCACAGATACCACAGTTGGTCAGTTAGGTGAGCCAGCATCGAGCTTGGGCACGGGGACACTCGGAACAGAAGAGGGTGACTGGGCTGCCATTTTTGTTTGTAATCAGAGGGTGTGGCCCCAGCCCTGTATCCAGAGGCCACAACCAACCTTCTATGGAGCCAAATGCCACTGCAAGCTTGGCTGGGGGCACAACATGTTTCTGAGATCTGACTTCCACCTACCACAGAACTATGGGTACCACAGGAATGTTAGTATGTTTACTTTTCTCTGTTTGTTTGATTCGTTTTCTTTTTCCTGTCCAGTTAGTGTCTTTTTTTGTTTAGTTTTCTTTTGTCTTGTTTTTTTAATGGTTATTTTTGTTCTCTGTTTTATTCTTATTTTTCCCTCTCTTTTTTCTTTTCTCTTTCATGACTTAGATTTATATCCTTTTTGTTTTCTTCTACTCATCTTCTTATTCTCTGTCATCAACTATCTTGCTTGATTTTATGATACTTTCATGTGAGTAAACATTGTCTCTTTTCTTTCTGGTTCACTTTAATACATCTTTAATTTTTCTAGTATTCTTTCCCTCCTGTGTCCTCCAGTTTCCCAAAATGTGGGTGACCATCCTTTGCTATCCAGTCTTGCTCTTACTATATTGGACCTCATTCATCTCTTTATATTTCCCCCCACCCTTTTAATTCCCCTTCTCCTGCCATTTACTCTACTAAGTGGAAAATCATTACATTCAAGTTCAGGAATATGCTGGATTCTGTTATATAATTGTAGGATTTTCTTCGTGATTAAACATAGAAGATTAATAGTTTCTAGAGTTTGTCAGTAGCCAGGATGTGCTCAAGAATATGTTACTGATAACTGTACTACTTTAGCCAGGATGTCATGCCTATTATAATCAGTTTTTCTCCTCTGTATGACAATACCGTATTCCAGTATCAAAGGACTGGGTACTGAGCCAAATAGATAACATCTCATCCCTAATCTATTGAGAAAGTTGTTCCTTAGGATAGACATGAAGACTAAGAAACACATCCATCTAGAAGACATCCCTGAGGAACAGAAATTTCCTGGAGAAGTCTCAATACTAGTGATAATGCTGTCTACTATAAGAAATCTACAAGCATCAACCTTGAAAACCAAATAAAATAAAAAATAAAAAATAGAAAATGACAAGACACAGAAGCAAAATGCAATTCCAGCTCCCCAACCCACACAGGACAAGTCCAGAGCCCAATGAGAAGGAGGAAACTGGAAGCCCAGAACTGAAACTTTCTTTGATGAAAGCAATATAAGTGAAAAAACAAATGGAAAAGGTATAGAAAAAATAACCTCCAAGGTGCAAAAAGGAATGACAATCCAAATGTGTGATATTAAAGTAGATACAGATAAATAAAAATAGAGGAACTTAGGAAATCAATGGAAACCATGAATGCCAAAAATAGGAAAGAAATGGAGTGCATGAAACAGATCCAAACAGAAATCCAAGAGATTAAAATCTTTATTGAAAGTATATGCAAGGCATTGAATAAAGGTGAAGATACAGTATCAGACCTGGAAGACTGTATTGCAGTTAGTGACCAGGAAAAGAAAGGTATCCTAAAAATAGCAAGAGACCACAGAAAACCAATCCAGCAGCTATAAGGTGAAGCAAAGACCCTAAGACTGATTGGAATTAGTGAGGAAGCTGCAGACAGCACAAAAGGTATTAATAAAAAACTCCACAGAAATAACAGCAGAAGGGGGCTGGGGATTTAGCTCAGTGGCATAAGCGCCTGCCTTGTAAGCAGGCAGTCATGAGTTCGATCCCCGGTACCGTTAAAAAGGAAAAAGACAAAACAAACAAACAAACAAACAAACAAAAAAAAAACAGCAGAAAACTTCCCAAATGGATAAAAAATTTGAGGTAGAAATAAATAAATGAAGCATATAGAATTTAAAAGCCATGACCAAAGTTAATCTAAACCAAGGCATATAATAATTACTATTCCAGAAATTAGGCATGAGAACAGAATATTAAATACCATTAGAGAAAAGAAACAAATCACATATATTTCAAGCCCTAAAGGAAAACATCAACCCAGATTGATGTGCCCCACAAAATTATCTTTCAAAACAAATGGAAAATAAGATTCTTTCATGCCAAGAACAACTGAAGGAATTCATGACCACCAAACTGGCTCTTCAAAATGCTCTGAAGTTATATTAGAAGGAGAAAACAAAGACCAAAACCACAAGAACACCAACAGAAAGAAACTACAAGGGAGGGAAAGTAATTCAAGAGAGAAAAGTCAGTGAAGATAACATTAAAAGGATAAGCCAATATGTTAAACATCAACATAAATGGTCTCAATTCACCAATCAAAAGACACAGACTGGCAGAATGGATCAAGAAGCAAGATCCAATCATATTCTGCATTCAAGAAACAGATTTAACTCAAAAAGAAGTTTATAAACTGAAAGTCAAAGGATAGAAAACAATACTCCATACGACAAGAGCCAAGAAAATGTCAAGGGTAACCATTCTGTTCACAGACAATGTGAACTTCAAGGCAAGACATTAAATGAAACAAAGAATTTCACTGCATATTTGTTAGGGGAAAACTGTAAGAAGAGATAACGTCATAAATATATATGCACCAAGTTTCAATGCACCCAATTAATTACATGGAAAAATATTAACAGATATGAAAAATCCAATAGGCACTAACCCAGTTGTAATGGGAGACCTTAATACCTCAACTAGATCAACTGAGCAAAAAATTCACAAGGAAATATCAGAATCAAACCAAACCCATGAGTGAACTTGATAGATGTCTAGAGAGTGTTCCTCCCCACAGCATCAGAGTACACATTCTTCTCAGTTGCATGTGAGATGTTCTCCGAAACAGACCACATATTAACCTGAACACATGCTTAACTAAATGTAGAGGAATTTAAATCATCTCATGTATGTTATTTAAACATAGCACAATGAAACTGTAAAACAACAGCAAAAGAAACCACAAAAACTACATAAACACATGAAAATTAATCAAAATTCTCCTGAACAAGCAATTGGTCCCATAGACAAAAACTAAGTGCTTTCAACTTAAAATCAGGTACAAGACAAGGATGTCCATGATCACCACTCCTATTCAATATAGTTCTGGAAACATCAGCCAGAGCAACTAGAAAGAGAAAGAAAGGATGTTAAATTATCATTATTTGTGGATGACATGATACTCCATGTAGAAGGCCCCAAAAACTCCACCAAAAGTTTTGTAGATTTAATAACCTAATTTAACAGAGTAGCTAGATGCAAAGTTAAAAATCAAAGATCAATAGCATATCTACACACACACAACAAATTTACTGAAAGAGAAATTAGTGAAACCACACTTTTCACAATAGCATCCTCAAAAATGAAATCCTTAGGAGTTGATGTAACAAAGGAAGTAAAAGGTCTATACATTGAAAACTATAGTTCTCTAAAAATGGATTGAAGAGGAAATCAGATAATGGAAAGAAATCCCATGCATAGGATATCAACATAAGAAAAATCAACATAGAAAAATGACCATACGCTAAAATTTTTGTACAGATTTAATACAATCCTAATCAAAATATCATTAGGATTCCTCACAGAACTACAGCAAAAACATTCCTAAAATTCATATGGAAACAGAAGAGAACTAGAATAGCAAAGGCAATTCTGTACAACAAAGGCAAGGCAGGAGGAATCACATTCCTTGACTTGAAATTATACTACAAAGCTATTATGGTAAAATCAGCATGGTACTGGCCAAAATACAAACTTGAGGATCAGATTAGAAGCTGCAGACATAGGTCAAAACACTCTGCTACACTTTATCTTTCTTATTTTTGACAAAGGGGTAAAATATGGTCCCTGGAAGAAAGACAGCCTCTTTAATAAATGGTGCTAGAAAAACTGGCTTTTCACTTGCTGAAGATTAAAGTAGAGCCATCTCTTTCACTATGCACTAAACTAAATTTGAACTTGATCAAAGATCTAAATATTAAAACAGAAACACTAAATCTACTGGAAGGAAAATAGGTAGAAATCTTGAAGACATAGGTGTAGGTAGAGAGTTCATGAACAAAACTCAGAGTTGAATTTCAGTAATTTATTTATTTTTATTTTTATTTTTTATTGATACCAGGGATCAAACTCATGACTGCCTGCTTGCAAGGCAGGCGCTTATGCCGCTGAGCTAAATCCCCAGCCCCAAATTTCAGTAATTTATGAATCATAATGGAAACTTTTCTGAGATACACTGATGGAACAAACCATATATCTCATTTGTATAAAAACACAATTTAAAATTTAATATTGCAGATGAAATCAAGGAAGAAATTATGTAATATTACCTCTAGTGCACAGTGAATTCATTTTAAATATACATTTAAAAATATAAATGTAATTGGCAAAATGGCATAGAACTAAACTAAGTCTTAAAGATCACACATGGCATATGTAGACACGGACATACTCTTACACATGCTCACACACACGCACGCACACACATGTCCACACTC